TTCGAGAGTGGGTTTCGATTTGCCCACCATCAGACAACCACTTCCACCTTCAACACCAGAACAACACCATCATCTTCTAAGGATTTGGAATTTTGGTTGTTGTCGCTGAATCAAGCTTCAACTTTTTTTTTCCATAAATCAAGGTATGGTTCCCAAGCCTTAAGAGGTACCTATATTTTCTTCAATGGATACCAATCACAAAACGAAACCCTATCTAATTTTTTTAATTCGACAACTTTTGTGAAAGGAATTATGACTTTGGTGTTCTCCATCATGAATTTAAGGTCTATGCATCTTAGGAAAGTTTAATTATTGATTGAGTATGTAACTTTAATTTGTATTTTGTAGAAAATAGGTGTTGTGTTCCCCTTCACCACATAGGAAGATATGGATAACTTGTGGCTATTGGAATTAATTTTTTTTTTTTTTTTCTAAATAGCTGTTTTGAAGACTAGATGTGATGTTAATTTTTACATCCAAGGACAAATTTTATGACTTTCTTTTATCAAGTTTCTGGCAATTTTTTTTAACATTTCAGGCGGTAAGTGATTTGAGCATGACCAAGTGGAGGGTCTTCCTTGGGATACCTGTTTGTTTATGGGAAGTCAACTTCCTAAGCTCTCCGTTTTTTCTTCAGGTATTGTTATCCTTTCTCTAAAGCCATATAGACATGTGTTATTTAAGGTTTATTGGGAAAAAACACATTATCTATTGATGTTCTTTCCATTGTGATAATTCCTTTAGGGTCTAGTGGGTTTAACAATCATTTGAGATAAAGTTAACCCAGTTTTTTCAGTGAACTATTTATTGCCGGCATTCAACCACACCACCATTGTTGCTGTTTGGATAACGCCTTCTATCATGTTCACCAGGTTCAAATAGTAAGGTCTGTCACCTGTTGCAGTTTCACATTTTTGTTACGTCCTCACTTTACACAAAAATGGTCATATTTTCTCATTTATTTGTCAATCCACTTCAGTAATGTCCAATATATATATATATATATATATATATATATATATATATATATATATATATATATATATATATATATATATATTGCACACCAACTGTTCGGTAAAATGCTTAAAACAAAATTTTTAATTTTTATTCAATATATGTGACAAAGAATATTCATTTTCTGATTATCGACTTACTTCCTCATGTTATTTGGTCCTTTTTATTCAATATATGTATTTTTTTATTTTTATTCAGTATCCTTTTTATTGTTTCATTTCTTGATTTACTTATTTGATTGCAGGTCATGTTATTACAACTTCAGGTTCTAATGGTGCTAGTGAACAAAAGCTCAAAAGAAGCATTTTGATTCTCAAACCACTTTTATCCTATTATAGAAGATATTGGTCGGCAGCTCCAAGGAGATCCTAGGCTATTCTCAAATCCACCTCCACTGATCCATTCTCAAAGGTAGCAATAATGGTATTTGATTTAGCCTTTTGATTTTGATTTATCATATGAATAAAGGTACACTAACAAGGGCAACTTTTGTTTTCATCATAGGTTTCTGGATGTTGGATCTTGCTAATAACACCATTCATGTAACAATTTATAAAAAGATCATTTTTTAAAAAAAAAACCTGTGTTTTAAACCATTATTTTAAATTCAAGTAACAGTTTTAATAATTTCAGGGCGCCGCTCGTGCTCTCCTGGCTGATTTAGCAGGTATGTGCCAAGTTTTCTGAATTCCTCAATCTTAATTTTGATCAAAACCCTAAACCCAAATCTGTTAATAGTTTCACCTTATGATGTTTATGTTCTGTCTCTAGCAATGCTAATTATAATATTTATTCATTTATTTGATAGGCCCTGATTTTTTACAAATTTGCCCTTACTTTCTAAATATAATGTTTGTAACAGGGAGTCCTAGACCTGGATGAGGCGATTTCTCCAAAGTGTGGACTTCTTTTTCATTGTTGGACTGTAATACTTCAGGTAAATGATAAATAATTAATAAGTATTTAAAATATTTTCTTCTTGTGGTCTTTTATTTTAATTTTATGGGATCTGATTATAAAATTGTTACAGGGTGGATACGAAGTTTTGTAGCAGATTACTGGATATGCATATCATCGTTAGTAGATTACATACTAATTATTAAAGAGGTGTGATTACTGATTAATAAATAAATATTTCCAGGATTTGGTGCTGCAATTGCATGGATGCTAATGGGTGAATTGATCTTGGTGGCCTTTTAAGGGTTACAGCAGGTTATGGAACAAAAGGTATGCTACTTTTTGTTATGATACTTGTAGTTGTTTAATGGATTTTGTTATATTAAAACTTAGGGGCTGTTTCTGTTTGACTTAATATGGACAAAATGGCCTCATGTGTTAAGCCAAGTTAATGTATTAAGACACCAACCCCTTTAACCTTCTTTTTTCCACCCTCACATGTGAAATTTGTTTTTTCGTATATAAGGGTAAAACATAAAAGAAATAGACTTTATGTATCCAAACAGACATCATCATCCATTCAGTCTGATGATTTTTCTTATAGTTATTTAGATTCCAATGTTGTTTTTATGATTTGAAAAGTCAATTGTCATCAGTATCGCTCTCTGTTGGATCGGATGGACAACCGGATATCATCAAGGAGTGGCAGATTGAGGAAAGGCAGCTGAGATTTGCATCAATGGTCTGAAACAGTTGATCTAATATATCTAAAATTTCATTAACAACAAATTATAATTAAAAATAATATATTTGGCCCCTGAGCTTTCGATTTTGATCTTTGCTTGTGGTTCTTACTGTTCCAAGTAAATGAGTATCTTTGGCCCCTGAAACCGTTTTTTTTTCTTAGAGTAAATTACATTTGTGGTTCCTGAGCTTTCGGTTTTGGTCTTTGCTTGTGGTGCTTACTGTTCCAAGTAAATGACTATCTTTAGCCCCTACGAGTAGCTGAATTTTGTATATTTGGTCCTAGAAAGTCATTTTACTTGAAACATGTATGGACCAAAATTCTAATAGAACTTTTTGGGAATTAAAAAAAAAATCAGCTACATGCTGAGACAAAAAAAATGCAATTTACTCTTTTAGTTAATAAATTTCAAGCAAGCATACACTTGTTAATGTAATAATTGTTGTTGCATTTGTAATTTTGCATTGCAGGTATATTTGGGTGAGCAGTATGTGAACAACCCTACACTTTCTGATGTAACTTTAATGATTGAAGGTACACATATGATATATGATATGTTTTTTAAAAAAGTAAAAATTAAGTAACGGATGTGGCTGGCAGTTTATTTATTTGGTATGATATCAGGCAAAAGGTTTTGATACATGTGTGGAAGTGACAAATTTTGAAAATGATAATGGTTACAATGTGGATTTGGGAGGAGACCATGGAATGCATGCTACCTTTAATGTGGGAGATCTTTCACCTTATCTTGATGATGATGGACTTGATGAATTGAGGTCAATTCCTTCCAAAGGGGGAGGGGATGATCCATGCATGGATTATGAAAGCCCAAAAGGTGATGGATTAGTGATTACTAGTGGGCTAGAAGGTGGCTTGGGCTCAATGGTTGGGTTGTGCATGGTAGCCCACAAATTGAATTAGGGTTGCATGAAGGCTAGGGCAACATTTTTAAGGCTTCATAAGTGTTAAAAACGTTACTTTTTACTTCATAAAGCCTCCTAGCCGTTTTTATCACTCTTTGGTGGATTAGGGTTACACTTTAATGCTTATAATGACTCCTTAATGCTTCTTATGGCTCCTTAAGCAAGCATAGCCGGTTTTTTTTTTCATTCACAAGTCTCATGGACGTTTTTTTTTTGTGTTCTTTCAAGAGTTACCTTAATTTTTATTTACTAGTTTTAATGAATAATTGGTTGGTTGGCTTGTAACCACCAAATTTGTAATAAAGGCTTCATATAAAGCCAAATTATGCATGGAAAAAGTAATACACGAATTTTAATCAAAGAACCATTATTTTCACCTTGAATTATTGTTATAATTCTCAAATTATCTTGTTGGGACGTGTTCTTGACTTGATACGAACTCAATCCAATAGGTCTTGGATTGTTTTCATCGGTATACAACTTAATAGGTCTTGAGTTGTTACTATACTAATCTATCTATTTCTTTCCATTCACATATCATTTGTGGTTGCTATTCTCTCTTAATTTACCTAAACACTACCCTACTCACTAAATCAAGCCCATACACGCATCATAAGTGGTATCAGAGCCCAAAAGGTGATGGATTAGTGATTACTAGTAGGCTAGAAGGTGGCTTGGGCTCAATGGTTGGGTTGTGCATGGTAGCCCACAAATTGAATTAGGGTTGCATGAAGGCTAGGGCAACATTTTTAAGGCTTCATAAGTGTTAAAAACGTTACTTTTTACTTCATAAAGCCTCCTAGCCGTTTTTATCACTCTTTGGTGGATTAGGGTTACACTTTAATGCTTCTGATGGCTCATTAATGCTTCTTATGGCTCCTTAATGAAGCATAAACGTTTTTTCTTCATCCTCAAGTGTCTTGGACGTTTTTTTTTGTGTTATTTCAAGAGTTTCCTTAATTTTTATTTACTAGTTTTAATGAATAATTGGTTGGTTGGCTTGTAACCACCAAATTTGTAATAAAGGCTTCATATAAAGCCAAATTATGCATGGAAAAAGTAATACACGAATTTTAATCAAAGAACCATTATTTTCACCTTGAATTATTGTTATAATTCTCAAATTATCTTGTTGGGACGTGTTCTTGACTTGATACGAACTCAATCCAATAGGTCTTGGATTGTTTTCATCGGTATACAACTTAATAGGTCTTGAGTTGTTACTATACTAATCTATCTATTTCTTTCCATTCACATATCATTTGTGGTTGCTATTCTCTCTTAATTTACCTAAACACTACCCTACTCACTAAATCAAGCCCATACACGCATCATAAGTGGTATCAGAGCCTAGTTCCGATTGGGTTTGTTCAAAAGAAATTCTGCTAAGTTTGTTTGAACTGAGTTGTTATCCAAAAATGTTGCGCAAGCTATATGTTGAAGAAGAGGAGGAAGAAGATTTCGGTCCCATCTACGACACCGATGGTGAAGGGGAATTTTGTGAAAGAATAAATTTCTTGTTTGAAGAGGAATTTATTGAAAAATTCACTTTCATGGTTGGAGATGAAATTATTGAAGACTCTAGCCCTATCTACGATATTTATGGGGAAGAGGATCATGAAGAAATTGAAGAAGAAATAAATTTTGTGCTTGGAAACGAAATTGATGAAAAGTTTTTGAAAGAAAAAGATTTTGTTGTTACAAACAAAATTGTTGAAGAAAAGGTTGAAGAATTCAAAGAGGTGGAGCAAGTTCTTGACCACGAAGATGTGGTTGTGGTTAAGAAGGATGATGATACTCGTCTTATAACAAACCGTCTTTCTAAGAACCTAGAAGAAGGAGTGACCCATCAAGTTCCAAGTTCCAAGCAATTACGAGGTAGGGAGTTTATAATGCTTGGATTCCTATTCTTGTGGTGTACCTTTAGTTGGGAAGCCATGTTATTGGAACATGTTGTTCATCAACCCACAAGTACAAACCATGATCTAATATTTCATATGGCCATTGTTAATCCTTTAAATTATTTCAAGAATAATTTACTAGGTCCTAATCTTGTTCATGGGAGTGTACGAAAGTGGTTTTTGATCCACAAATGGAAGACACGGTTAGGATTTCATTTGGCGAGTTCTTTTAGCTATTTGAAGAACATGTGTATGTGGAGAAGAGACCAACTTGGAGTAAAGAAAATGTCACATTCTGCAATAAAAATATGTTTTCAAGACCTATTGTCATGGAAGGTTTGTATGGGAGAACAACAAAATTTGGTTCTTACTGAATTGAGGACAATTCCTTTCGAAGAAGGAGGGAATGATACATGTGTGGAAGTGACAAATTTTGAAAATGATAATGGTTACAATGTGGATTTGGGAGGAGACCATGGAATGCATGCTACCTTTAATGTGGGAGATCTTTCACCTTATCTTGATGATGATGGACTTGATGAATTGAGGTCAATTCCTTCCAAAGGGGGAGGGATGATCCATGCATGGATTATGAAAGCCCAAAAGGTGATGGATTAGTGATTACTAGTGGGCTAGAAGGTGGCTTGGGCTCAATGGTTGGGTTGTGCATGGTAGCCCACAAATTGAATTAGGGTTGCATGAAGGCTAGGGCAACATTTTTAAGGCTTCATAAGTGTTAAAAACGTTACTTTTTACTTCATAAAGCCTCCTAGCCGTTTTTATCACTCTTTGGTGGATTAGGGTTACACTTTAATGCTTCTGATGGCTCATTAATGCTTCTTATGGCTCCTTAATGAAGCATAAACGTTTTTTCTTCATCCTCAAGTGTCTTGGACTTTTTTTTTGTGTTATTTCAAGAGTTTCCTTAATTTTCATTTACTAGTTTTAATGAATAATTGGTTGGTTGGATTGTAACCACCAAGTTTAATAAAGGCTTCATATAAAGCCAAGTTTATGCATGGAAAAAGATATAGACGAATTTTTAAGAAAAAAACCTTTGTTCAATTGGAATTATTGTTATAATTCACAAATTATCTTGTTAGGATGCGTTCTTGACTTGATACGAACTCAATCCAATAGGTCTTGGATTGTTTTCACCGGTATACAACTTAATAGGTCTTGAGTTGTTACTAATCTATCCATTTCTTGCCATTCACATATCATTTGTGGTTGTTATTCTCTCTTAATTTACCTAAAAATTACCCCACTCACTAAATCAAGCCCATACACGCATCAGGTTTTATGCTCACATAATCTACCTGCTTGCTTCTTCTGATGCTTTTCGGGCAATGTTTGATGGCGGTTATAGGGTTAGTATCAAACTAGAAACATATAGTATCATATGTGTTTATGAATGATGATGATGAATGTGGCGGTTTGGTTGCATTCTAGGAGAGAGATGCAAAAGATATTGGGAGACATTTGAGAAAATGATTAGGTGCATTTACACTGGATCAGTGGAAGTGGATTTAAGAATAGCCCAGGATCTCCTTAGAGCTGCCGACCAATATCTTCTAGATGGTGTTAGTGAACAAAAACTTTTTAGGACCAAAATTTCAAAAATAAACTATACTCAAGAGACCTAAAATGTAATTCACTCTAAGTTTAAAGATATTAGAATTAGTTTTAAGTATGATTTTCGTTAATCAGGTGATAGATTTTCAAGACGTTTCATTGCAGCCATTGTAAGTGTGTAAGTGTGTAATGTCTTAGTTTTAAGTATGATTTTCATTAATCAGGTGATGGAAAAAGTACATCCAGGTACTAGTAAGTGTGTAATGTCTTATGTAATCGGAGTTCACAGCCTTAAGGCAATCAGCCTTAAGACACACGATTGAGAATGAATGGCTTATTTGATGAAGAGAAACGTGCCATTCAATTCACCTAAAACTTCATTGCTTTGTACAAAATCGGACCTGCAGGTGGTGGTGGTATCAGGTCTATCTGAATCATTGATTTTCATAAAAATAAAATAGAAAATCACCATGTGTGTACTTGGGGATATAAAAGGAAATAAATAAACGAGGGCACATTTGTAAAAAGTTAATACTTATATTAATACTCTCTCTTGTCTCTGCTTGGCTTACAATCTTGTATTTTGAAATGCAGCAAGGGACACAAGAAAGAGATCATTCTTCAGAAAGGATTGGTATGTTCTCACAAAAGGTATGGAATTGTAGAAGGGTGAATCTGAGGGTGCATAGTGTAGTGAAGAAAGCACATCTTGGCCTTGTTACAGCCCTAGCCTTCTCACAGGATTCAAGGTTCCCTCTCTTTCTTTCTTTATAAATTCTTTAATTCAGACTTCATACCTTTGACCTTTCCATACCCGTATGTTTTTTTTTATATAAGAAAGCTTGTTGTTTTTTTGTAATACAGAGCCCTGGTGTTTGCATCTCTTGATTCAAGTGCAAGGGTCACACAAATCAAAGAAACCAAAAACAATGGTATATCACTTTTTCTCTCCTCACTCACATCATCATATAAATACGTGTACTTTATATTGGATTTTTGTAGCTTGCTTCAAGTGTTACAGAAGAGAAAACAAACACCGATAAGAACATGTCAACCATGTTTGATGTGTTGAGAAGGAACAGAACTGTAAAGCTTGAAACTTTAGTCCTGAAATGTAAACCCTGGTAACTTCCCAATTCATACTTATATATATTTTCTATGTACCATTTCTTGTCGTTTTCCTCCTTGACCAGGTAATATCATTAATTTGTTTCTTTCTACTTAGTATTTCTTACTGGTTGTGAACAAGCCTCTCATCTCACATTTGAGTTTATAGGAATCAAAAATCACTGTGAAACTTCTAGTGTTTAGATTTCTTAGTGGTTGTGAACATTTGTTTCTTCCCTTTCTACCCTTCACTTGCAGGTTGATGATTTGTCAAGAATGGTCAAACTATTTTCCAAAAATACCCCATGGATCGGATCCTATCTATAGTATGTTTAAACAGGTTTGTGATTTAGGAGTTGGATTCTATTTTTTTTAAGTAGAATGTAGTTATTTGTATTTGTTGTCATCTGTTTTTATCTTTTTGATGCAATCCAGCATGTTGCTGCTGAAGGAACAACCTTGGTCAAACAGTCAAAAGATGCTGCAAGTAATAAGAAGGTGGAAAAGAGATTGCAGGTTGATCCTGCTACATGAACAATAATGATCTTTAGGGTCTGCTAGAAGGATTGGAGATTGTAGTTAAGCTACTATCTAAGACTTCACGCCAAGGACTTGATGAATTTAAGCTAGCAATGTTTAACTTGATTTGGACATGAACCCTAAGATATCATATTTTCGCATGGCTAGAAGCTTTGGAAGAAATGAGACTCAAGCAAAAGTAAACACACAGAGAGTTGTTGGCACATAGTAAGCTAGATAATGCAATTGTATATAAATGAGTTCATTTTTTTATAACATTTACTCACTATTGGAATAATTATTTGTATTTGACATATTAGTGAAATGAATTATCTTTGTTATTTATGGTATTTTATTTTGAATTATGAGATTTTTAATGTATTATTTAATTTGAAATATAGTAAATCTATAAATAATTTTTTTTAAACATTTAAAATTATGATACGCAAAAATGTGTGTCATCTTCATTTATGACATGGCCTTTCTTGACAAGGGCTTTCTTGATACGCATTGCGTGTCATTAACACACGCGTCGTAAGGTTACGACACGCGAATGCGTGTTGTCTTTCTTTATGACAGGGCCTTCCTTGATATGCATTGCGTGTCGTAAACGCGCATCGTAATTGCGCGTCGTAAATGAGCGTCGTAAATGCACGTCGTCTATAGACGACGCGCAAAAGCGCGTCGTCTCTCTTTATGACAGGGCCTTCCTTGACGCGCATTTGCGCGTCGTCTGAGCCTTTTACGACGCGCAATGAGCGTCGTAAAATGCTATTTTTCTAGTAGTGCCAAATCATGAGTACCTTTCTCTAGTTGTATTATACGGCTTACAATGTGCTTAATAACATCAATTTCATAACAAAACAACTAGATTCGAGAGTTTACCGCCCAAGAACACCTTGGGGAGTAAACTCTTAATATGATGCCTAGTCCTTTCCTCGTGATATGTAACTACCTTAGGCTTGTATATTAGTGTATATAAGACTAGAAATCGTCCATGAAACACCAAGAGTAAGGTGTTCACTTCTTGGGTCGTGAACTCCAAACTCAAGGGCAAAAAGGTGCCTTCATCACTCCTAAGGCCTTGGACACAAGCATAGATAAGTTCCTAGTTAATTTAGGGACTTAGAATCACCAAAAACTCATTCCCATGAGAGATTACGGCCGTAATCTCTAAGGGAAATGGTCCCAGGGCCGTGAACACCTCAAAGGAGTGTATTAATGCCCTAAACCCTTCCAAGGATTAAACCACCAAGTAGAATTGCTTCTAGGGATCATGTAACACTTCAAAACACAAAATGGCATTATGCTTAGGAGCTTACGGCCGTAAACTCAAGAGTTTACGACCGTAAGCTCAAGAGTTTACGACCGTAAACTCCTTGTGTAAGGTCTATTGGAGAGTAAACTCATATATGGGGTCCTTTGGAACCCTAAACCCATTAGCCTTGTCCCACAACAACTTAGATACAATCCTTAGGGCTTATAACACTTATATAAAGTGTTTATTGTGTTCTAGGATGTCTTAACATTTACAATTAGTAGTTTAAGACTAATTAGGTACATATATGTGTGATTATATGTTCATTAGGATCATAGTGCTTGTACAAGTCCTCACTTGACACCTAACAATCCTACACCGTTCAGTTCATCCAAACCACCATCTTCAGGTGTGTTCATACCCCTTAATCAATGTTTTAAATGATTTTAAATGCACTAATGGGGGGGGGGAATACAGGTAGAAAACAACATGTTATTAAATAAATCATATGTATTTATAACTGTGTTTTCATTCAGCAGATCTCACATACTACAAAATGTGATGCATGAAATGGTTTTATATCTTAAAAGTACCTTGATAGCAAAAGTATTATGTTTGAAATGTATATTACAATGACATCAAGTCATTGTTAATTATTGTACAAAACTCTTAGATGTCTTACAAAAGCATTTTTACCTTCTTGAACAAAACTATATCTATACAATTATGTTCTTTTATATGTATTGATGTTACAGTTTTCATCCTTCATTCGGTTTCCCACACTCTTGTGTATCAAGGGTGTATAAGCCTATTTGTAAAATCAATTAACTTCCAGTTAACTATTATAGGGATAGTTAGGAGATACATAACATTATTCCTATTACAAGGAATTACATCAGAGTCAGTTCATTCATGAGTCTACACTAAACATTACATGAGTACCTTACATGAATACATTACATGAGTACCTTACATGAATATATTACATGAGTACCTTACATGAATATATTACATGAGCACCATACATGAATACGTTACATGAGTACCTTACATGAATACATTACATGAGTACCTTTACGTAGATACATCTTCCTGTATACATTTACATGGATACTTGTACCTCGATTCACTAGGATGATTTATTAGTACCTTTTGTGTAAATTGTCCTGCCTATCCCAGTTCAATGGGATATCTAGACGGGACTAACCATTCTGAATCCTAGCTGTTAGCACCAGTGGTTGATGAGCATCTACGGATGCCTACGGTTATTACCTATATTAGGGATACCTTTACGGGACTAACCATTCCTTGGGCCTACTGTTCGCTACAGAGGTTGATGAACATCTACGGATGCCTACTGTTAATACTTATATTAGGAGTACCTTTATGGGACTAACCCTTCCTCCCACCTGCTGTAGCTACACAGGAAAATTGAATAATCTACGGATGTTCAAAGGTTATACATTTCGCTTTTCGCGATGTCGTGTTAATCCTAATACAAAAGGATAACAATTACATTAGTACATTTTCCTATTACTTTATTTTTGTGATACATTCACATAAACGATGAGTTAGATTAAGAACTTTTAGTAACAGTCAAAAGAAAGGAAAAACTATCATGTTCACTTACAAAACATTCGGGTCTTGCTAGAAGACTACATTTCATACTAGTAGGAAATAAGGGATTTTCTAGGGTTTTCATACTTATATCAACTGTTTCATTCAAAGATTTACATAACATACATAACAACTTTCCAAAACAAGACAATGACATTTAAATACTTATGAATTCACCAGCTTTAGGCTGATACTCGCTTGCAAAATAACTTGTATTCACAGGTCACCAGTAGACAGGTACGATGGCCAGGTTTTGAGAAGACGGAGCACAGACAAGACTTGTCTTTTATTTTGATTGTATATTTTGGTGTCTTATTACAATGGAAGAACGCATATGTATTAAAACATTACTTTTAATGCAATGGATGATGTTGTTGCTTGTTTACTACTTTACACTATTGTGATACTATACATGATGTCGTCCACCCCAGAACGTTTCCACCATTCTTGGTTTTGGGGTGTGACAGATTGGTATCAGAGCATTGTTTATAGTGAATATAGTTTATCAACCCATAAAAGATATTATAACTATAAATACATTGGGATGAAAACACTGTCTGTAACGACGTAAATTTCAAAACCAATTTTTCATTTTTTTTACAAACATCAAAAACATCGAGTAATAAATTTAGGTTTCAAATGTAACAATATTGTCACGACCGATTACATAACAAGATCACAAAAATGGTTTCCCCGAGTGTGTGTACGATCACGCCGGCACCTTCCCACGGTCCTCGCTAGTACCAGAAACACATCACACAACAACTGTAAGCATAAATGCTTAGTGAGTTCCCCAGAATACAACCTAAGCACATACGCCTTTCCAGGCCCTGACCTTCCGGTCCATGTGTCTCAGGGGACTTCCGTCCCGACTGGGTAAACCTTTCGGTCCTACCCACGTCAACCTTACGGTCCACATTACAATGCCTCCCGACACATAACATATTCGCCTTCCGACCCATATCTAGCATATCATACATGGCACATATAACGATTAACCTATCACACATAATGCATATATTTCATATCATATTCGACCTTCCGGTCACACAGTCAAACCCTTCCGGGTACAGTATAGTGAGAAGACTCACCTTGTATGTCTCGATAACTCGTGAACCCTGGAAATTACTCGTGCTCGAACCCCCCGAGCTGAAATCCTCCTATGACATCACATATCTATAATTATTACTTGTACCACTAAGGTTGACCATCCCTATCAAGTCAACACTGGTCAACTTGGTTAACAGTCTTTGGTCAAATTGACCGGACTCGGCGAGCGCACTAGAGTGACTCGGCGAGTCTACCCATTTTCACCAACTCGCAAGGATTTTCCCTTTGACTCGTCGAGTACTCCCCTGACTCGACGAGTTCCACCTGGGCCTGAATCACGGGGCCACCGCGACTCAACTCGCTGAGTCACAAGGACAACTCAGCGAGTCCCAACTCGACTTGGTCCATCTGTCAAAAACCTTTCTAACTCTTTGTGACTCACTGAGTCACCCACAACTCGGCAGGACTACACACTGGGTGGTCTCAAGGATAATCTTCAAGCGACTCGTCAAGTCTGTTCTTCAGACTCGGCGAGTCCATGCCATGCATTAGCTAAAACTGGCTTTTGCGGTCAGATCCGTTCCATACACACATAGATCTGGCCTTCCCAAGTTCATTTATCACGTAAAGTCTCAGTCTTGGTCGCCATGCAATGCATACAAGGCTCATTTTGGAGAAATAACCTCTAATATGGCAACCCTAGCTTCCAACTCAAAAGAATGGACATAAAGCTTGTCATTTGGGGCCACCTGGACCTGCTAAGGTCCAGATCTAGGTTCCATATCTCCATGGGACCTTTCATACTTCCAATTCAAGCCAAATAAGGCAAGAAGAAACCCTAGATTTGACACATCAACCAAAATACGAAGTTTAGCTCTGAAAGTTACCTCAAGAAGGTTCCCTTGATGAAATAGAAGCAGATCCAAGCTCCCCAACTCTTCAAGCTTGATCTTCTCCTTCCTTTCTTGCAATAACACACAAAATGATGAACAAATTGTTGGATTAGTGTCTAAGTCCATAACTATTTTGGTATGTACTTGACCCGATGGTGCATGGTCCTTTTGGGTTGCCTTCACCAAAGCAACTTGAT